AAAGATTGGGACAGTCCGTCCGAGAACAGCAGATCAGGCCTGCTCTCCGGTGTGGGCCGGTGTCCCGCAGTGGGAGGCAGACGGTGGACAGGGTTCACGGTGACGGTGCAGCCGTCGTCGTGGTGGCTCGCATCTGGGAGTTCCATTGCGTTGCAGGGCTGCGATCCCACCCACAGCGAGGTGGAGGGCATCTCAGCATTGGGATTCCAACGGATTGCACCCGCCCCCCCTCGATTTGGGGGGCTCAATCTAAGAAAGTTCATGATTATGGCTCCGCTACGGGACCGGACAGCATGTCCGCGCCGCACTATCCAGCCCTCCCTGCCAGACAAGCCTGCTTTGCGGGAGCGAGACAAGTACCAGTGCCAAGAGCTTCTGCAAACTCTGGCGAGGTCCAAACACTGTCATGACAGCCCGGACTGTTGCCTCATTGACGAGAGCGGACGAGGGTCAGAAGCAGAAAAAAACATGGTCCCCCACTTGCCTCGCTCACGTCGTCCCCTGACCGCGGTTCATCAGTTGGGGACTTTTGCCTCCTCTCTCGAATCATCGTGTCACGGGATGACCGCCAGTTTGGTGAAGTGATCGACCTCGGCAGAGCTGAGCTCGATCTTTGTCAGGAATCCGGTGACGTCTCGGGGCTTCTGCGACTTCTATGGGGCTACCTGTGCAGGCCAAAGACGGAGCGCCCTCCGGTGCGGCGCGGATGTGGCCAGTGGGACACACGCAACAACTGGCCAAGGTCGGTTGATCACGATACAAATCTGCCTGTCAAAAACTCAAATCCGCCGACTCCAATGGCAAAGGGGATAAAAGCAACCGACTGCACACGCCTCCACCCGCCCTATCTCACCAGATTTGGGTTCAACTGACCGCTTCACGCTCCAGGTCCACTTACTGCTGTCGCGTTAACTCTACTGACCTGCCGTCCGTCTCGTATAGATGGGTAAGCAGGGTTTGTGCCGGTAACGGGCGAGCGCTCAGGCGCTCTGTGTGCTTTTTTGAGCGGCACCTCAGCAAGCTTGCGAGTACAGGTGCACGTGCATGACAAGAGTAGCAGTACTTCATCATAGCTAAGGCGCGGTGAGAGAGATGCCCTCACAAAGTACCCATACAGCCGTCCGCAGCTTCCCGCAGGAGCTTCGCTCGTACCTCTCTTGGTTCCTGTTCAGTCTTACAGCCCTTTCCCTGCAAGGTGGATGCTTCCCGTCATTTGACAGCTGCGGCGGATGCCAAAATGGCGTTTTCCCGACGTCCCTTGGATCTCGCTTGCATTCCCCCACTTTTCTTTCTCGAAAAGTTGAATGTTGAAACGAGCGCTGGTGGCCTCTCTCTCGATGGAAGTTTCGATTTGCATTCCACTGCTGCTCTGCTATTGACAAGGGTCGCGGGACATCAAACCGATCACCGTCTGCGCCGACGACACCGGCGGGGAACACAGCGGACGAAAGGGGGCCGCATCCCTCCACACATTCCACGCGTCGGTCCTCCACCAGCAGGATATCATGATACGCCTTCAATGGGTCCCACGACCGTGTGCTATTTCACCCTGGATGCACGTTTCGTCCATTCTCTGAGAGCCACGGATGACGCTCATGGGTCTCTTCGTGCGGTTGACCAAATTCTGCAGCGGACGACACCGCTTGCTATGTCACTCTGTCTGTACGGAGTACTAGGAGCTGAAATGTTCAAAGGAGAACGCTACCCGTACATTGATGGTCAGCATCATGGAAGGCAGCCTCCTCACTGGTTCTCTTCTCCGCTTCTGAAGCCTACTGCGCCCGATGCTGCGGCCGTTGGATCGCACGACAGCAGATTCCGGCTTCAATGCCAGAAGGGCAAATGAGGGGGCAAGCCAACCATCAAAAGAGGCGTGTTGCATCAGCTAAGCGGGCCATGTTCTTGCCGCAATCGAGACGGCACAGCGGCAGCATCAGCAGAATCTACGCAGCTCGCAGGTAGCTGGCAAATCAAAGCGCGCTTCCACGTCCAAACTGCATCTGTGGGTGCCAGGGAAAGGCGCAAGACGAGGAGGAGGCAAGAGAGAAGCAGGCCCAGTGGGCTTGGGCTTGTCGACGCAGCCCCCTAGTCGCCGCCTCTTGATCTTCTTACCGCATCTTCACTTCATCTGCAGGATTCATGCTGCTTGCTTGCTGCCAAGTTACCGCTCCGCCGCTCCTCCTGTAAGCCCACATCCAACCAAGATGAGATCGACAGCGCACAGCCAGACAATCCTCCTTGCAACCTACCGTGCGATGCAGTCAGTACACCCCGAATCTAGCAGGCCTATCTGCTTTAGGCAGCCTTGCTCGAGCGACACCTCTCTTTTGGTCTTCAGCCGCGCCAATACTTGGTCTTTCTTGCTTTTTCCGATCCAGTTTGGACCTCGTTCTTCCAGTGAAGGCGGAACAGACTGGCTGGTATCTAGGGATGATGCTACCCGGCCATTATCACGTCGGTATCCTTCGCTCGGCCAAACCAAAGCCACCCACCAACTTGTCTACCCAACGTTCGAGGGATCTGGCGCGTTTCCCTCGATCTCATGCATGCCCAGCGAGCGTGCCCTATCAAATCACCGCCCCTGGTCCACGTCGTGCCCCCGGTCGCCTTACATTTATACACTACTCGATTGACTTTCCGCTTGATGGGGGCACACCAATCCATCACCGCTTCCCCCGGGGATACTGCCATTTATGGCGAACATCTCCTTTTAACAAACAAATCACACGGCTCCATCAAATCCAACTGCCTCCGCTTTATTGGGCCATGTGCCAGATCCGTCCATCGCCATCAGGGCATCATATCTCAACCCGTCCACTGGGTCGTTTTCGCTGTGTCGATATGGGGCTAGAACGGGGGCATACCGTACCGCTCAAGTACCTCTCAAGTCGACCTCCGGTACCCTTCAACTTGCTACGCCGCGGGCTTGATCCCAAATTCGAATTTGGCTGACCCAAGTTTTCAGGCAACTGTGGTAGTAGTGGTTAGCAGGAGTGTCGCTTTCGTTGCTGTTCGAGCCACGACTGCGGTGTCCGTGTGCCAACCTGATTTCGGACCGAGAGCCAACGCGTAGCATACTACTGCAAACTGGACCCGGTGCAAATCGGCTCGGTCCAACATTGCTGACAACACTGCTGGTGTCAGATCATATTCGTCTTCATCATCCTTCGCCAATGCGGTTTTGTATGCCTCGCCATCAGTGCAGCACTCTGGATCCAGACATAACGACTATACTTGGTTCAACATGCTCGCCGCTGGCCCGGAGTCGCATTGCAGTTGACACATGCAGCCACCCACGACGTACTCGAAGCAGCAGCCGTTGAGAGTCATGGTCGACTCCGTGTCCCCAATCTTGTCGATCATTTCTGACCTGTTGATGGACCTACATACGAGAACGAGCATCGAGGCATCTGGTATGTCACATCTGGACGTATGGTGGGTCGCTGCGTCTCGCTCTCAGCACTGTATCATTTCGGAGCGCGACGCCCGTCTGCATCAACGATCTTGAGAAAGCCGTCATCCGCGACAAAGATACAGCCCTAGACTGTCCGAACCCGAGCCGCCATGTGGCGGCACGTTATGGGTCAACGATGCGCTTTACGTGCGAGGCCAAGGCGAGCAGCCGGTGAGGCAAAGACAACCCTACCCTGCCACCGATGCATGTGAGAGGCTCGTCAGACTACCAACGTCTACGCAGCTACTTGGATGATTCGCATAATAAATCGCACACCTCGTGTTTCGGTTGGATCTCAGCCATAGGGTGGCATCCTAATATCACTCGATCGTTTTCTCACGCCAGTGTGGTGTTTCCACAATGGTCACTTGACGATCTGCCGCGTCTGCAATCGGCGAATGCTCATGCAGCCGTAAGCGTATGGTTACCCTGAGACCCGAAGATCCTTGGTTAGGAGATCTCGCACAGTTCACTTGGTCATGCATTGCAATCGACAGTGCCTAAACGTTATGGTACTGATAGATCATGGCTGGCAAGGGGTTCAACTGGGCACATATCTCCAAAATTGACCGGCTAGGTTTTATTCGAACCGTGCTGTGACACCACTTGCGATCTCATTGCAGAAAACGGGGCATCGGAAGCACCAGAAACTTGACTGCTCTCATATCGACAAGTCTTTGATCCTGCGCGGGATGGCGGGACGTGGTCGAATCAGTCGCAAGGGTGCTCGATGTCGCAGTCGAATGCAACATGCGATGGCGGTGCACACCACAGTCAGCGCAGAGCTTACGGCGGCTTTTCCCATCCACTGTACAATATCTTCGATACATCGGTGATCCTCTAAGCGGGTATCTTGTGAGCAGCACATTCGGGTAAAAGCGCTGCTGGGTCCTCGTCAGCATTTTCCTGGGATCTGGCTCCAGTGTGCCAATGATGCTTGGCTCGTGGTGCGATCGTCTGATCTGGAGATCGGTCTGCCACGCCGCCCACACACACGTTATCATCTCGCATCTGCGGCTGTCAAATAACGTGTCCTAGGCGGTGCCACTCGCCCTCCATCCATGGCAAATCGAGAGAAACTAATTGCCAGGGGGCTTCACCGGTGAGAGGGACTGCATCGGCACTAATCTTTGGGCCCCCCTTCAGCCCCGGGCGACCGTTGCCAGAGGCAGGCAGCGGTGGCTCTCATTGAGAGGATATGGCGCGACAGTTGACACCCGTATCTTGGATGTCGGCATATTCAGTCCAATTATCAGCTGGCTCCGGGCGCATCTCCAGCGACCAACGTCTCGACGGCAGTGTCAGAAGTTGCAAAAGAAATTGTCTAGCGCCCGAAAAGGCCAGCAACCCCGCTTCCCGACCATATGGTTAGCACGCTTGGGGCACACCTGGCAAGGAGATTAGAGTCGGCGGCCGGCCAGGAGTCCCATGCTCGTTCCCAGAACTCGACGAAGACATCAGGCCAGAAGAAGTCGATGTGGATTGCTTGCCCGTTGAAACAACCCCACGCCACAGGCACACGGGAATCTGGGACAGAAGCGGCGCTATGCCCGGCTGCCGATGCAATGGCATGAGATCGAGGCCAGCGTACGTACGCACGGTCGACCGTTTGGTAGGCGAGGTGCCAACAAGAAACAGCTCGTGAGTCGCTTTACGTGAAAGCCGGCTGTTTTCTCACAGTGCAGTCACCGCAGGCGGAGACACGGAGTGGGCCACGGGGAACATGCTGACGTGCAATGCTCGGCCGAAGGATGTCAGCGGAGAACTACGAATTCCATGTACCTTCTGCCTTCGATCGATCAGGACGAAAACCTCCCATTCGTGGAATGCGACGTTGCTTTGGCTTGTTTCGACAACCGGTCAGTGCACAAGACGTTGTCCGATGCATCTCGTATGCTGGGAACAGCACTCACTGATGCTTACTTCTAGCTACCAATGACATCGATAGCACTGGCGACATAATGAGCTGGCTTGTATAATCAAGTCGCCGATTGTATTTCGCTTCTGATAGTGGCTGCTGATGTTGGGTGGCCTTGCCTTCCGGCGGCGGGAACAACGCCAAAGCAACCCACAGAGTTGGGCGTTCACTCAAAGGATCGATCGAAAGTTGGGCACTTTTGCTTGTCCTCAGGGACCTCCAGTTGGACGTCAGAACGACGCGTCATTTTTCAATTTCATGAATAGGCAGCCCTATTTCTCTCGCCAAACCTGAGTGGTTCGGTGGATGGAAAGACAATTTCCTTCATTTGCTCGAGTCAACCGAGGCAACAAGAAATAATGAGGCACGGCTGCCGCCCCTTCTCTGTCGCATGAAGTTCTGGTATCGTTTCTGGGGTAGTTCGTCACACGTTGCACAATTGCAAAGCGAGCAGCTATTCCCGTCGCATTTGCTTCTTACCAGCCACCGTATCAGATCATGACTGATGCCTTCCCTGCTCTGTCCCTTGCTCGTTTTCTTATTGCGCACCGAACTCCAATACGACGAGGGGTGTTGGACGCCTCTGTTGCGCCAATCGCAAGGATGGGTCAAGGCTTTCTCACGCCCGCCGCACACGGTTGTTTGTTTGCTCTGAGCTCGCACTTCTTCACACATGGAGTTCAGACGTAATAGAGGCTGCCTCCTGTCAAGTGCAGGTTCTCCGAGTATCAGCAACGTGCTGCAGACTGCGCACGTTCACCGCAGACTTCTGTGTGTTGCTCCGACGTCCGCGTCTCTCGAACCTTGTGGGCCGCAGCTTCGGTCTCTGTACCGCGTCGGCCCCGGCGCCCGCGACAGCAGCAGCAACAACAACAACGGCTTTGTCTACCGATCACCACCAATCTTTGTCAGGCTCTTGAAAAGAAGCCCATGGAGGAGGATAAGATTTTGAAGATAGGGTTAGCTCCCGCTGTTCAGCCTTACGACGTTAGGCCCGTCGGCAACACTAAACGAGCTTGCTTGGCCGCCCGTTTGCTTGCTTTTTCTGCTGCTTGGCCGTCAAGATCGGCAGAGACGCGCCATCGTATGATCACGGGAAGCTGGCCACTCATTGGAGGTTTTACGGCGCTGTTTGCTGTTTGCTACATTGCTACTGATTCTTGAACCATCTCACCGGGCCCCAAATCGAATGTTTGCTTGTCAAAAGGGATCTGGTGGAGGCTGTTATCGACACCGATATCTGAGCTCGAGCCGACTAAACTAATGCCTTCAAGATCACGCCCCTCGATGACCTTCCGATTCTTGGCTTCCCAGTCGCCACCGGGGAAAGTTCGCTGCCTGCCGAACACTATTGTTTTATGTCGACGCCAGGACATGAAGCAAGGGCTGCGCAAGAATTGTCCAGGGTTGACTTCCTATCTAGTCACGACACAAAATCGAGGCTCGTCACCGACGACGCCGCAAGTTGTGATTGAATTGAGACATTCAGCGAATGCCCAGGTGTTGGCAATGACCTGTCATGCTGTGTCTCGTGCATGGCCCCCTTTTTCTTTCTTTTTCCTTCAACCTGAATCATTTCCGTCGCGGGTCAACCACTCTGGATGCGAACCTTCCTATTCTACTGCATTTTACCGGTCTGGAATGCATGCAAGAAACGAATTAAGCAAAGTCGTTCCTCGACAAGGTGGGAGCGCCATACGGTTTTGAGAAGTTTTCAAGACACTATTGGACTTTTTTTCTTTCTCTTTTCTATCTGGACTTCAGTCCCCCACGCTGAGCGGGACTCGTCCTCTTGCCTTGCGCCCCCTTTTTGCCGCCTCACTTCAGACCGTTTCGATATTTCTTTTACCCGTATTGCATATCGCAATGGGTTTCAATGAAGTCCTTACCTCTTCAGCTTCCGTTTGCCATCGCGGCTAGCGTCTCCCGCTCACTGTTCCATATGGGGGCAAGCTCGAGTTGCCAACAAGCTAGGGTGGCGGTCTCGAACGCAATGATATGGGCGGCCTTGCGTTGGCGCGCTTCTGGACGGCGATCATGAGCTGGGGTCAGGTGGGCAATTCAAGACGTAGCCTGCGTGTCTCCAATAAGACGCCTCACGATGTCGCCCAAGTTGCAAGCCAGCGGGAAACTCAGTTCTCGCCCGCATGGTAACCCGTCCTCTTGCCGTCCCCGCCTCACCTTGTTTCCCCCACGAGGCTTTGACCTGTGCAGTAGCCCTCATGACCAGAGAGTTGGTCCCTGGATGAGGACCAAGTCCCACCCGCATTGAATCACAAAGAAGTCTTCTTTGGGAGAGACTCGGCAGTTGCTTCTTCGCGGCATGGCGGCTCTTGGACCTCTGCCAGCGCGAGGCGGATGGCTCCGAAGCAACTCATTGGCAAGCATACCGCGGCAGGCGGCTGTCTGATGCTGTTACATTGAACGGATCTGGGCGAGGCTTGCTGCCACCTCCCTCGTCCGCCCAATGTCTAACCACTCACATCGGCGATGAGGTGTCGGATGCCCTGTGGAGACTTGGCAGTGACATCGTGTCGGGCAAAACTGCTGAAGAAGTCACGGCGTGGCCTGAAGCCCCGAGGTATATTCCCTGGCTTGAGTATGTCGGGGACCTGGTGGCCTCAGTGGCGATGCCGTAATGGTGGTGGGTATGGTGACGAAGGGCCAATGCCGCTCGGTCAGCAGAACGGCTACGACTCCCATGCCAGTCTCCGGCAGCAGCGGTGATGCGGACTGCTCACCGGGATGGATCGCAAGCAAGGGCTCCAAACAGTATCAGAAGCAACCGGTCGAAGGGGCTCCTTCCTGACCTGGTCTCTGGACTGAGGGGCCAGTGTTTGTTGAGGTGGTAGCCGCACGTCAAAGCCTGCCGAGACCGCAGAAGAGAAGAAAAAAAAAGCCCGAATGGAGGGGCGTCTGGCTGGCGGCAGCAGTTGTTTGTCTGTCACAGCGGCTCATCCGAAGCGAGGCCGACGGCCGTGGCCCGGAGAACCGGTTCTCGTCACATATCTCGGGGCGGCTGGGTATGGATTATCCTCTTTTTTCGTTGCCTTCTGACTTGCACACGTATTTACGGGGTGTGACGTTGGGACCGAAAAGAATATCAGATCTCTCCTGCTTCTGAGAAGGGGTCCGCGTTGCATATGCCGGTGATGTGACCGATATCCACTTCTTGACCGGTCAACGACGGCGCATGCCCACATGCCTTCCGTGCGTCTGTTCCCGGAGGAGAAGATCCATACTCAGCGCGCTGTTCATCCCCCTCCCCCTGATCCTTGGTTCTGGCTTTCAGAAGCTCTCTCTCTCCTTTGGCTGTGCGGCCCAATCGCAAGAGTTGCGGATCGGAGGGCGATGCTCGGTGGTGGCCCGCAGCTGTTGGAGGTCATTCACCGCGGATCTTGGCCTTGACAGGAAAAGCGGGAGTGCGGAAAAAAAGACACTGAGAGAGATGCTGCAGTCGATGAAGGGGAGGGGGTGGGCCGGGGCATATCTTTCTTTGCCCTGGTTGGGGGACCGACCCGCGTCGGATCTTGCGCATCAGTGCAGCATTTCAATAGATGCGGGACCCGCGTTGGGGGCTGGGTCGGCGGGTTTTGGAAAAGTGATGTGCCCTTGCGAAGCTGCAGCAAGCACAAGCACAAGCATGAGAGAGGGAGAGAGATATGGGCGATGACGGTCGAGAATGTTTGTTTGTTGGATGCAAGGTTCTTTCGTTTGCAAGGATTCTCTGCTTCATCGACATGGGGAAGGAGGGGGAGGGGGGTGTTTGTGGTCGCCGAGTTCACCACATCGTGTCTTGGGGGCCGCCGCAGCGCGGGACTTCCCCCAGCATTGGCGTCTTCTTCTTTTTCAAGATATGCAGATGGACATATCTGGAGTAGCCTCAAAATGGAGCACGAGCAAGGCTTCACGAGACGGGGCTCGCTGTGGGAGCGGGACGAATGCCTTTCCCGATTCAGGTTGTTGAACCCTGAAGTTTCTGGGAGTTCGATTGTCGCATCCCTTGCGGTTGGCTTCATCATCGCGCATTCTTGAAAGGGGTCCCCTCAATCTCATCGGGGCTGGACCGCACACTGGGGCTGTCTCCAGTTTGTTGGTGCCGGGGTTTGTTTTTGTTCTTCTTGTGCCTGTGTGTCTGTTTTGAGGGACCGCACATTGGCACAAATGCGGTCATGCTGCATTACTTTTTTTTTCGGGGGATTTTATTTTATTTTTATTTTTACGTTCATTTTTCATGTGTGTGCATGAAATCCCTGAAGGAGCCAGCGTTGCTTTTTCCAGCGGTGCTCTCGTGCCTAAGGGTTCTGTTTAGTCATATCTGACAAGTTTTACTCTTTGGTTCCCCTAACGCAAGGCTAAAAATTCATGACGGCGGGAAGGCAAATGGTGAAGGGGCAGCAGAAGCAGAAAAGAACTTGGTTCGGACGGCACACGGCCGGGGCGCCGGGTGTTGGTAGTGGTGGGATAGGCAGGTAAGGCGGGGCTACCGGGGTTTTTTCTTTGCTTTGCTTGCTTCCTCCTGACGGCGGCGGCGGCGGCGGGCGGAGGCGGAGGCGCGGCCGGGGGTGAGGGGAGGGGAGGGGTTCGTTCAGATCTTGACTTGCGCTGCGACTGCGCTGCTGCGCTGCCACACCCCGCTAATGTGAGCCTAGATGATGCGGGCTCCAAGACGGTTGCGTCGATCGGCGATCCTTGCTCGAAGGGATGGATGGGTTGTGATGTGGATGGAGGGGGAAGGGGAGGAACGGGGTGTGTATGGGAGAGTGTGAGTGTGTATTGAGTGAGTATGCATGTGTTGGGATGACGCTGCGGGAAGTTTTTTTCTTTGGTTGTTGCGAGGGTGGTTTGTTTTGCTTTTTTCGAGGCTTGGATGGGGGTTTTGGTTTACTTTAGTGGGAGTTTGGATGTGGTTGCTGTTGTTGTTTTTTGCTTTTTCTGATGGATTGGGTATAGACGCCGCTGCGGGAACGGGGATTTGTGCGAGGAGGGGAGGGGTCTGCAGGGCATGGCA